TCTATAGCCCCTAGATATATGCCAAACTTCAGCTTGTCCTTAGAGCTGAAACTCCAGGATAAGTAAGTAGGCCACTTTCACAGAAAGTCTTGGTGTATATTTCAGTCTATTGTCTGTACAGTGCCCTGGGGGTGGTAGCATTCCAAGAACTGTTTCTACAATTGTTACAGTTTCACAGAACCCAGGAACACAAACTACTCCGGCTACCAGAGCCAGGAGACCAAGGGGTATCCCCTAGGTGGAAGCTACATAAAACCAAGGCACCAGACATAAAAACTAGAGCACCAGTCACATACCAGGGCTCTGCTCTGAGGGATGCTGGTATTCTAGCATGTGCCAGAAGGAAAAGATTAAAATAGTTCCCACTCTCTGAAGCCTCCGGAAAAGTTAACAGTCAGCCCTTAGTTTGGTGTTTAATTAGAAGTCACCTGCTCAGGCTGCAGCAATGATGACTAGCAAATTAGGCCTCTTTCACAGAAAGACTGAACTCCTGGGTTTGTAACCTTTTGTTGAAACCTGGGTGTGGTAGCTATTTAACAACTCTTTCTACTGATTACCATCCTAAGAGACCCACAAGTGTAAGCCCTACTAGCCAACAGAGCCAAGCAATAAAGAGGTGTCCTCTGGCAGCTGCTGCAAAAATCAGGAACCCAGAGGGTATAGGCTACTTTCTGGAAGATCCCAGTGAGCTGGAGTAAGGCAGAGGGAGAATGCAAAGATTGCATTCACAGGCTTCCATTCCATGAAAGCACCTCCACAAACCCCTATAGTGTGCCACACCATAAGCCAAAGATCCTGGACAAGCAAATGGTTCTCTTTCTCAGAAAGATGAAGGTGTGTTTCAGTTTGCTCTCTGTACAGTGCCCTGAGAGTGGTAGTCTGCCAAAAACTGTTTCTCTAATTGTTATAATCCCATGGGACTCAATATTGGAAGCTCCTCTGGCTGCCAGAGCAAGACAATTAAGGGGCATTCCATGGGTAGCAACCTCAAAAATTAGATCACCAGGTATAAAAATAGGGGCACCAGATGTGTGTAGAAGCTCCACTTCCAAAGATAAAGAAAAAAATTTAAAAAAATATTAAAAATAAATAATAAAGAAGAGAAAAAAGAAAGAAAAAAAGGGATAAGATGGTGGCTACCAGCTTCAGCAAGTCAGAGGGAGAGTACAATAGATGGTTTTCAACAACTGGAGCATAAAAATGGTAAAAACAGATGCTGCCTACAGCTTTAGCAGGGTAGGGGGAGAGCAGGAAAATTGTGCCTACCAGCATCTGTTCCTGGAGCGTATCCAAGCAGGCCTCTGCCCTCAGACCAATGCTTTAAAATTAACAAATGATTCTCTTTTTTTGTTGTAGTCCTAGGGAACTTATTATAAAGAAATTTCATTGGCTTGAGCTTATCATAAAGACAGGCATCTCCTGAGAATTGTACTTGGAGCTATATCTCCAGAGCAGTGATGAGCTTACATGAATCTATCCTAGGGACCTTGGTGCCTGCATTTGGTAGGAGTCCCACTGGTATTTAATCTAAGTCAGTAGACAGGAGACAGAGAAAAACTGATGACTCTCCTCCAGAAAGGAGCCTCAAAATGTAAACTCTTCTCTTTGATCAATGAAACATGGAAGAGGAGAAGAAAAAATTGCAAGTTGCATGTGCCCCAGAAGCAAAGAACACAAAGGAAGGGAGGACAGAAAAGGCCTGAGGAATGAGCCAATGCCTGGTCTCAAATAAAGATCATAAAACACAGGGAGTGAAGGAAGAAAAAGAAGAGAAGAAGCAGCAGCCCCTCCACTCTCAGCATCATCAGAGACCCAGCCTTTCTGGTTTCTTCTTTCTAGCTGATCCTCTATACAGTAAATGAGTCTTTTTCATGTAAAGTCTAGGTGTTTTTCAAAGGGCTGCTTCTGTACTGCGTCCTGGGGCAGATGAAAAAGCATGTCATGAGCCCTTTAAGAGTTATTTCTCAGTTTGTCACAGCCCAGCAGGTCTTGTGGATATGAGCTCTGTTGTTCTTCAAAGCCAGATGTTTGAGGGGCTCATCTCAACTGTCAGTCTTAAATGTTGGGATGCCGAACGTGGAGTACAAACTCTTCACTTCTCAAATTAAATCTCTGGGGTTCGAGTTCACTCCTGATTGTGGGCTGCCTAACAGGGGATGGAGTTTAGGGTGAGGTAGCACCTAAATTTCTCAGAGTCTTAACGAATAATAGTGTACTTTTATTTGTAATTACATATTACATTTGTAATGTACTTAAAGGCACAGTATAAATTCTAAAGAATTACTATGACACCTAAACTACTTACTACTTAAAAAAAGAATGTGATTTAAAATTTCTATTATAAGCAGTAAACTTCCATTTATTTTGGGTTATATTCCTGGAAAATATGCAGATGAATGTAAAGAGAAACTGATTTTCTTATATTAGCAATTTTATAATAGGGGAGTTAAATTTTCACATAGAAGCATAATGCTTAATATTTTAATAGGAATGACCACATATTCCATAAGTATAATTTATCTAATCTATGATAACTTTTATATCAACACAGTTTATGTGCTAGTATTTAAAGCTTTCTAAAAGTGAACAGATCAACCAATCATGCATAAACTGCATTTAAGCTCATGTAAGTCGGTGTACAAAGTTATTATATTCCTCAAAATTCCTTTTTTTCTTTTCTTTTCTTTTTCCATTTTTTTTTTTTTACCAAAACTATCAGAAGGTTAAAGAGTCTTTCATCAAGATTATGAGATTCTGAATAATTTCTGAGTGGATTTTGACCAGTGTCTTGCAGAGATTTAGGAACAATGTCGAGTTTTTTGGTGACTTTTTGAAAAGCTGATTCAAGGATAAATGTTTTGCTGCTCTCTTTGTCTTACATCATGCCTCTGTGATAAGCATACAGATAACTATTCAAATTGTTGTTTGTTATAATACCTTCAATCTATTTCACTGATTTCTTGAGCTGTTATCTCATAATATCAAGTATTTTCACTTTTCCCACTGACATTATATAAGGCATCCCAGCCTTTAAAATTCAAGAATCATCTATTGCTTGCTTTCATGTTATCTTTTCCACTCTCACTGAAACAAGGATTCACATGTCAGAAAAAGCTCAAAGATTCCACTTTAGTGGTGGCCAAATGAAAGGCACATAATTTAATTTGCCCACTAATCCACAAATCCTGTGCTTGAAGCACTACCTCTTGTCAACAACTTGAAAAAAAGGAATATAAAGTGTGACTATTTAGAATTGAAATTTCTTTTCCCACAAGCATAGCATGATGTATAGTTTCAAATGTGTTTCTTTCAAAATCACTCCTTAGAGTGAGGCTGTTTATATGGTTATTCTGATAATGCTGTCGTCATCTCCAAGCATATCTAGAAACCCTATTTAGGTAGTGCCTTCGGAATCCTGTTAATAAAGCACAAAATATTCCATTACTTTATAATTATAGTACTTCACCCCTTCTTGGAAATCTTGTTTTCTTTTTTTAATTCCCCCTTTTCAGTTATCCCTTCATCCTTCTCCATAGTCAGTCTGTTCCAATGGATATTTTGAGGATTACCAATTCTTTCTTCCTCTCTGCACACCATGTCTGTGCTATTTACATTGCAGACATAACTGATTAGAATGATGGATTGAGCTTTATAAATGCCAACCTGAGAAGATGAGGATTGCTTATATTTAAATCTTTCATAACGACTCTGAAGCAATAACTATAACCTCCAGAAAAATGAAGATAAGTTTTCTCTCATTCATTCACAATGTGATATTTTTTTGTTGTTTCTAATGCAATTCTGTGAGCTCTGTTCACAGAGAGGCTTCTTAATAAACACACATTTGCTCAGAGAGAAGTATAGTATTGTTTAAGAAATAAGTTAGGCAAGCTCAAAATAATTTAAATTTCACAGAATGCTCGTCTCTCAGCTTTATGGCTTTCTTTCTTTAATCTATTTATGGGATTTGTATGGCCTACATTAAGCCTTAAAATGTATTTGGGGGAAATAATGAACAATTTGGGTCTCTTCTATCCCTGATCATCAGGACTCTGTAGATCAGGACAGTGTTAAAGCAATTTATTTATTTATCATTGATACCATGCAGCCTAAAGCCTGACATTCACCCCTACAACCCACAGACTTTTCAGATAATCTCAGGTAAATTGTGTAAAAATGGCCTTGGTCTCATGTAGCTTAGCTTTAGTCTATGTCTTCACCATTCAAGTCAAGTTTAGCATCGACCTAGTAAAAGCAACTACATAAATAGAGGGAATAACTTAAACTTATGTGGTGTATACAGGATAAATTTTAACCACTACTGTTTATCCCCAGGCAAGTTGTTTCACCCCTCTGAGGTTCCATTTATTTATTTTTTTTATATTGGAATTTCTACAAGTTTATTAGAAGGGCCAAACAAGATGCTATGTGTGAAAGTACTTAAGAAAGTGGCAACCCAAAATGCAATAGGCAGACAATATATTTTCAGTGAATGAACAAATTCCCACATCTAATCAGTAATAGGTTTGTGGTCCTACATTTTTTGCATGGATTGCCTGAATCTTTATTCCCCCTGTCCTGTTCATTTATCTCTTAGAAAGACTGGAGAATTTTTACTCTTATTCACAAACAAATGTCTTCACATAAATAAAATTTACTTCTACATCTGGAAAAAATTTATTTATTGTGTCTTATTAACAATATCATATTTACTGAAGAACTGTTTAAGATAAAATATTCAATTTCCATTTGGTTGAAAACACCCAAAAACACTTGATCTAGGTCTCTTAAATAAGAAAGTGCCTTGAATTTCAAAGAGGAAACAGGAAAATCCCATCTTCCCTTCCTCTCCCACATTTTTCACACTCTGTCTCCACTATCACACCCCTATGACCACAATTATTAAACAAGAGGACATTTATTTCTATTGTTCCCAAAATTCAATTAAAGAAATTGTCTTGCTGGTCTTTGGCTTGGCGGGGGGGCAGGGGGGAGCAGACAGGAAACAGTTAAACAAAGTTGTAATTGAAAAGTTATTTTATTTTTAGCCAATCATTGATGAACCACTCTCCCTGCTCATGAGGCGGGAACGGGTCACAGAGCTGTCATGGCGTGATAGTTGGTCACGAAACTCTGAGGCCATGAAGTAATAGAGAATTGGATCCAAAAGGCAGCAGAGACTTGCAAGGCATAGACTAAAAGGATGAAAATACAGTGTGCTTTTGACAATGGAACAACTGCTAATGATGGTTTCCTTTACCATGGTGTAAAAAATAAAGTTAATATGATAGGGAGTAAAGCATATGAAGAAGACTGCAGCACACATGAAAACCATTCGAAGTGCTTTCTGTCTCTCACTGATTCCTTGGAAAGCCATTGATGGCTGTCTCAAAGATATGGTAGTTTTCCAGGTACACCATGCAATAATGACTACTGGAACCACAAAACCTGCCAGCTCAGCAACTGTAATCGTCCCAACTAAAGCCACTGCATTCATTTCCTTGTAACCAAGATCAGCAAAGCATAACTTAGTGTTGGCTAAGCCCGTGCTTCTCAGGATGGGAAACGGCAAACAGGCAGCTCCCACGATGACCCAGATGGCAGCACTGATGCTCACATCATACCTACGCTTCCAGTTTCTGGCCCTGAAGGGCTTGATGAGAAAGAAGCACCTCTGAAGGCTGATGCACGTCAGGAAGCAAATGCTGGCATACATGTTGAGATATTTCAGGTAGAAGCACAGCAGACAAAGGGCCCTCTGGAAAGGCCAGTCATGGTTGATATAATAGTAAATCCGGAGGGGCAAGGACAGCACGTGGGCAAGGTCAGCCACAGAGAGGTTGATCATGAAAATAATGGCTTTATTTTTCTTGCTGATAAAACGGCATAGAACCCACAAGGCTACACTATTAGCCAGAAGACCAGGAATGAATATGAGGATGTAGGTGGTTGCATAGAGGGAGTACTGAAATGTCACATTAGTACCGCAGAAAGTCTCAGCATTGCTAGTATTGTTGCTACCCATCTTGAGTATTTCAGTATATTCATCAAAGTAAGTCGTGGAGTTATGATCTCTGTTCAAAGTAAAGAAAAAAAATATATAATGATTAACCAGTTCTTTAGCCAACACCTAGATTTCTTTACATACTTACAAAGACATAGAACATATTACTATTAGAAGGGACCTGTTTACAAATAGAGAAGCAAACACTCAAAGAAAATCTACTATTGATCTAGAGTCACTCAATAATTCAATTAGAGGACCATGAAATTGTCTCCACACTGTCCTCCCGGATAGTCTTAAGTTGTCTCTTGCAGGCAAAGATGTCCTGAAACATTTATAGTTCTCACTTTTTAAAAAAAGTAAAAAAAGTGTCGCATTTGAGTTTGTTTCTTTTGTGTCTAAATTTTTCTTGCCTCAATCCTTGGTTAAAGTGAATAGTGATCACTCATTCCCAATTGCAATGATAGAAATCAACTTCACCTATTATGTCCCTTTGTCTCTCCTTTGTCTGCCACTTTGCACATTGGGTCCCGACTGCCTACCTTGGCACCCCAGCACTTACAAAATGGTCCTGTCTCCTTTAGTCTGCATTGCCAGTATCCTGGATGATTTTCAGGGCTTGGGAATGTTACCTCCTTAATATTCTATCACAATAGCTGGTGGTTCTAATGCACTTTGTCTCTCTCTCTTGGCTTAGGTTGTATTCTAAATTTACATGAAAATTTTCAGTAATATATTAACTTATGTGGTCTGGGAAGGAAGACACTAATTTTCTGTCTAAGGACAATTCTGTACTGGTGTGACATCATGAACATGACAGATTATCCAACAGTCACAGTGAACATTGATGAGGGAGGGCACCAGCAAAACAGACCACCAAAATTATTTTTTTGAGAATAATTAAGACAATACCATTTTTTCCATTAAAGGAGTCATCATAAAGAGAAAAAAAATAGTTTGGACTTCCTTAATTTTATTTTATGCTTTAGTGTAGTTTTTATTATGTATTGTATATAGATCTCATTGTGGATTTATGCAGTCTGCTGCAAATAGGAATGGTAGAAAATTGAAAATCTCATTATTTTACTTTAACTCCATTGTGAGATTTTAGACTAGAGAGGAGTTTTGAAAATCATTTAATTCGGCCTCCATATAATATAGGTAGAAGAAGTAAGGCCCAGAGAAGAATTCATTAAGACTATAAAACCACTAAACAGAGATCTGGGACTTCAAATAGAAGAACGAGATGCCTAACCTTTATATACACCCTTCTCTTCATTATTTGTTGTCCTCCTAAAGACATATTTTACAAGCATAGCTTCAGTCCATATTGCATAAATGTTTATTGCATTTAGAGCTAGAAGTAGAAAAAATAAAGCAATGAGGTTGTTCTTGAGGCAGAGAAAGGGTTTTTATTATTTTTATTTTGTTTTGTTTTGTGTTTATAAAAACAAAACATTTTGCTGTTATTATTTTTATTTTGTTTTGTTTTGTGTTTATAAAAACAAAAAAAGTGGTCTACTTTTATATTCTCTTTATAGTCTCCTTATAAGCAGCAAAATGACTTTCTGTATTTTTTAAGTGCTGCTCTAGGAAATAGAAATGTGATAAAAAAGAAAAAAACAGAACCCCAATTAATTCACAGATAAAAGAGAGTCAACATTATGAGCTACTATTACTCTAAAGAGTGCTTTCACTTTCCCTCTCCTTATAATTTGTTCTCCTTACTTGTCTTATCTGTGATATGTTCTAAAAAGTCATGCGGTCATCTCGCTTATATATCTATAATTTAGAACAGAGAGTGGAGGGGTCCTCACAGGTGAAAAGACAAGAAGTAATTATCATGGTATGACTATCAATGATGTATTCCAGGAATCTGCAATGGAATTTTTTACATGCAATATCTAATTTAATTCTCACAACCATCCTAAGAGGTAGATACTATTATTATGTTCACAGTGCAGATGAGGAAACTAGAGTTTGGAGAGATTCAGTAATTACCTGAGGTTACAAAGCTAAAAAATGGTAACAATGAGATATACTATTATGTCTGACTTGTTCCAAAATCTATGCTATTTCTACTACACCATTTGTCTTTCCATGGACTACTCAGTAGAATGGAGTCCATTGTGACATCTAGAGGGCACATTATGGCAGAACCTTTCTAACAGCACAGTAGAATCTTACTATCTTATAACATTTGGATTACTCTAGTTAGGTCATCAGGATATAACTAAGCACTTGCCCCCACACATGTCATTAATCCCTCCTCACTACCCACTTTGACATTTTTTTTTAGCAATAACAAATTTTTTAAAATTTTTTTATTAAAAATTATTGAGGTAACATTGGTTAATAAAATCAAATAATTTTCAAATGTATAATTCATTCAACAATACATTT